GCAATACTGTCACAAAAAAAAAAAATCAAATGGTGTATCAAGTTTTATATACAGAAGAGTTATCTGACGAATGTGAGTTAATTCTCTGATGCTCCCCCACCTTATAAGACCTTATTGAAAGCTCTGAGGAGTGCTTTGGAGACCATGTGCCTCCAGAAATATTTAGACCAACTGTGAACAGTCCAGAAAAAAACACCGAGAATGGTTAGAAGTTTAGAAACAAAGAGGTGTAAAGTTAGAATTAATATGTGGCTGATACAAGGAAAGCTCTAAATAAATGGAAAATAATTTAAAATAATAATAATAAAGACCTGAGTCTTAAAGTATCTTAAAAAAAAGCTTTTCAGCAGTGGGGAAGGAAGCACTAAACACATTGCCATGAATAGTTTTAAAAAACCCTCAGTTGCTCAGAGCTATGAAGAGAAGGAACATGTTGAAATTCCTAGTTCCTTGTAGTCTTGCTCTTATCTGTAGATCTTTTTTTTTTTTTTCTTTCCCTCCAGAATTCTGTATGTTTTCATGACTTAGTTTAATCTTTATATTTCTTTCTCCACCTTTCGGTCTTTCTTGCGATGCTACCTGGTATTTTCTCTTTCCCTGCCATGCTGTTTTGTTTCTGCCAATTTCTACTCTTAGTCCAGGCATTGGACAGAGAAGCAATTGTTTCTCTCCCATGAGTTGGATGGGTGAGTTTTTTTGGTCTTGCTTGTATGAAAGTGTACTTTGACAAATCACCTTCCTTGTCGGGGTCAGTTTTTCAGATCATCTTGTCTTGCAGGGATCCACAGAGCTCGCGTTCTCTCTGCAGCTTCTCTCTTCCATCACCTATTTCCATCAGAACTCTGCCTCTGTTCCCAGCTGGATCTCTCATGTGAAACTCAGCTTGTCAAATGTCATTCTGTAGTTAATGTACCTTCTGCAACTCTTGTATCTATTTATTTTGGCTGTCTGCAGGTATTGGTTTCATTTGCCTCAGGAACCACCACAGTTTTACAGCTCCCTTCCCATCTCCACAGCTCCCTTTTTTTGGTGCTCTTTGCTTATTGGCCTTCTCAGTGACAGCCCTGATTTTTAAACCTTTTTTCCAAGGTTCAAATCCTGTTCTGCATCCTGGTTTAATGCCAGCAGTTGACTCTGGTAGTCATCCCGATCCTGCTGCCCTTGGAGTACTGGCTTCTTTAGTTTACTTTATCCTTGTTAGGCTGATTCCAGATAATATCTGGAATCCCCTGAAATGATGCATTTGTTAAATTAGGGGATCTAGTAGTAGCAAGAAAATGCTTAGGTCTTCACAGTTTTTTCCAAGTTAGTAGTAGATACCTTGTCATGCTTTTGTCCTTCCTCATCTGTCTGCCACCAGTAACTGTGTTAGGCGTGTAAGTGAGCATCTTAATTCCTCTTAGCCCTTGTCCCAGAATTTTGAGTGCCTCCTCCATGTGCAAGTCATTCAGATCTGGTTTTGTTCTTGTGTCAGGCTTTTACAAAGTCTCCTTTTAAATTTAGTTTTAAGTTCAACTTTTATCTAAGACTCTTGTCTTTGCTGTGATGTCTGGTGGTCCTCCTGTCTGTTTGGCCGATATTTTTTCCCAGAAAGGATCTTACTGTCCATTTGTGGAGAACAGAGTCAAATTTCAATTCAGGAACCCTGTCCTCTTCTCACAAAGCAGTTGGAGGGACAACTGGACCATCTCAGTAGGGGAGCACTGTTAGTTGCCTAAAAATGCTCTGACACATCCCTTGCCGTTATTGCTGAGCAGAACTAGACGAAAAGCCTTTCTTCTTTCTGCTGTATGGTTTATAATCAGAATTTGGTTCTGACTCTGCTTCTAACAGCATTTTTAGAAACGTCATTAGGAAAGAAGATTTTTTTTAATTGCTTGTAGTGTGTACGCTGTTTGCAAGTACTTTTGAGTTTACTTTAAGTAGTGTCTTCATCTTTCAACTTTCTTGTTTCTCAAAGTTGAAATAGTTCCAGCTGTTAACCATGGTCATTGATTCTTCTGCCTGTTTTAATGTTTCTTCTCATGTTAGATTTTACCGTGTTTCCTTAATTGAGATTTCCTGTTGTCAAGTCTTCTCTCTCCGCCTGAAGTCCAATACCCTTTGTAATTCATTGTCATGTAGCATGACAAAATGAAGAAATACTCCGGGATTTGCTTACCCTAACATGCGTCCAAATAAGTGTGCTAATGCTGTTCTGTTACAGATGTCCGAGTATTTCCATGGAAAAATGATGTGCTCCAATAAAACAGACTTTGACGTTAATTGTTACCATTTCTTAAGGGAATTTCGTTCTGTTTAGCAGACTTAGTTATCTGTTTAGCACTACTTGGTTTAAAAGCAAACTTGCATGACCACTTTACCAATCATTAGTCAACCATTTCGCTTTGGGGAAAATTTCATTTAGAATATGTATCACTATTTGTACTTTTTATTTTTGTTTGTTTTATTTTGGTCACTGTGAGGGGAATTCCTGAGTGCTTTTTAGTAATTCTGTGACATTGAAAGTCACAAAAGTGAAACACTCAGGCAGAGAACCCAACTGTCTCTACAGAGTACGATGCAGTACCGTATCTTTTAGCGAGGCTGTAGCAGGTCTGATGTCAGTCACTTCAGAGACCTTTAGACCTCAGTGCTCATTTATTGCTAAAATGTACCAGTTCTGCTCCTGCATTATGAAGATCATCTGTCAACACTTTGAGATATTCTCCTTTGTTATTAAGCTTGTGATGCTCTACACTGTCAGGTTTTTTGCCAATTATAGTTAAGGTACAATGGTGTATTCACTGGATCAAAGTCTCACACTGGCGGTAGAGGAATGATTTGTAAGTCTTTATTCATCTGAATTGTACAATAGAATACCTGAGGAATGCAAATAATCCCTCTAAGGACTCAATAGAAAAGCTGTTAAAATGACAGTCTAAGACTATTATTATTCTGAATTGGTGTTTTAGCCAAAGTAATTATTTCTTATCTTGTTGTTCCACAATAGTTCTTAGTTTATTAGTTACGATGACCATATTTACCAAACAGAATTTGAATCCTATTTTAGGCACGACTTTCATGCCCATTTCAGTTTTTGAAGTTTGCGTGTTTAATTCTGTCTTTCACTTGGTACGTTATTTAATTAGTCCAGAGGCTGCTGTTAGATACTTTTTTAAAGAAAAGAAAAAAAAAAAAAGGATGTATGCACAGATGTTGAAGTACGCTTATGAATAGCAGATACATTCCTAGATACGTTTTCCATAAAAGGTTGGCATTTATAAGCTGTGAACTTTGATATCCAGTTTGTTAGCCAAAGTAAATTAGTTAACTACAAATGTCAGTTTTAGAAGCGCTGTTAAATGTCACATGTGGTTTCAGGAACGCACCTTAATTGTGATTTTCAGTTCAGATGTGTCTGAAGGCAAAAGTGTTTCAGTATCAGTCCTGGATACCAGACTATTTTCATTGGATAACTGGAGGAAAAAAGATTAGTATAATGAGGATTGAAAACCACTGATGGGGTATTTACATAAGTAAATGATAGAAGGACCAGCTTTATATAACAAACGTGTGAAAACTGTTGAGTGAACTTTTATATTCTTTGTCCCATCTAAAGCCCTACTCAGTGGGCCATGCACTTAATCTCATAATAGCTCTGATCCCCTGCTATTTTCTTTGACAAATGTGTGTTGATGAACTTGTGGTTCAGTTCGTTTTTTTTTCTGAAGTGACATTTGCATTGATTATTTAAAGGTTTGCAGGCCACAGTTTCAAAGCACTTTAGTATAATAGCAGTTAAAACCTTAGTCTAAATCTTGGAGATTAGCAGGACTAAGAAAAAGAACTCAGCAAGCATAAAACCCTATGCTGTATGGTGGGTGCTTCAGGTTCGAAACATCGACGGCACCCAAAGTACTGTATTTTGTACTTTTTATCTTAGCGTGCAGGAAATATTCTCTTGCCTGTTGTGCTTACTTGCTGAATGCACAGAGTTGTCCCCATTCTTACCGTTCCCACATGTTCAGAAATAGTGCCTTGTAGGTAACATTGTGAACAGTCATCAATCCTTCCAGGTCATTTATGGATATCTCTCTTACATGTATAATAAATAGCATTTACAGTTCTAAGTGCACTGTCTGTGTTTAAAGATTGTCCGATATCCGAATAGAAAATATTTGCAGAATTAACAGACCTTTAAACAATCCATTAAGCTGTAGTTCTAAATGCTTAATTTCATTCAACTAAAAAAAAAAAATAAATCAGATGTACAGTTAAGCTATTGCCGATGCTGCCAGTTACAAAGAGAAAACAGAAGATGAGAAATAGAAAATTTGATTCTTTATTTTAAAATAATAGTAGTGTAATATCTTGAAGCTTTGTCCTGGGGAGATAATAGAAAGGTGTGAGAAACTAGTAGCAACATGGTCCTGTATTCATTAGCTATGTCATCCTCTGAGATCAATAACCAGAAAAAACAGGGTACAGCTTGCTGTCTAGGAGCTTACAGTGTGTAGTGTTTTTTTCTGTCTGCTAATATCAGTTACCTTAGCCACTGAGAAGAGGAGATGTTTATATATAAAAAAAAAAAAAGGGGGGGGGGGGATGGAGATGATGTCAGAAGAAAAACTGAAGACCCCAGTTTTTGCCATATTTGATGAATTTCACCTTTGTAAGTCTCAGAAAAATGACTTCCACAATCCACAAAGTTTTATTCAGTTACCATTTTAGATTGCAAGTATTTAACCTCTACCAAAAACCTAGTTATTGTCTCAAATTATGCCCATTTCTTATAGATTAAATGCCAAACAGAAACCAAGAAACAGTGAAATGTTAATGGAGTACACCTGAAGCAATTGCTGCCTGTTAATGCCTTGACCTTGGAAAGCAATACACAAAAAGATGGCATCATAAAACCGTGCAATTCTTATGAATATGTATGTGCTACTTGATAATAATGAATGTGGTACAGCCATGCATGCACTACAAGATAATGTTGTGCCCTTTGTTGTCTACAGGTTGATAAAAATTAAAGAGTGGGTGGACAAGCACGACCCGGGTGCTTTGGTCATTCCTTTTAGTGGGGCCTTGGAACTCAAGTTGCAAGATATGAGTGCTGAGGAGAAACAGAAGTATCTGGAAGAGAACATGACACAAAGGTTAATTAGCATTCATTTTCCCTACACTTTATTATCAACTATTTCCTTGCAGTAATTTAATTGCTTGCGCTGATAGAATAATAAATGACAGAGTAATTACCATTATAAAGAGAGAATCTTCTCCTTTCTTTACCATGAGACAGAGTGAAAAGATTTATTTTAAATTAAGTTTTTAACTGTCATCTGTCATCTCTGTACAGTGTTTTAATTATAACATAGGTATTAGTTATGTATATTTTTGAGAAGGAATGATCACCAAAACTGTTTCGTCATCCATGGGGATCAGGGATGGTGGAAAAAATTTTGCCATAATTTTTCTGAAGAACTCTAATAAATTGTTTCAATATTGAATTTCAGTCAAACAGTTATGCTTTCATGACCCGGAGTCCTGAAAATTGCATGAGACCAAAAGTGCTGCCTGATAGGGTGTTTTAAATGGATCCCATATTTCTGTATCCTGTGGAATAAACAAATCAAAATACTGTCTTTATGATGTTGCAGGAAAAAAAATAGTTCTTCTGAAGAGAGTTCAAAGAAAAAGGCTACTCCGATTATCACGGGGTTTTCAAGTAGATCCAGTGTCTTCCAAATACGCAATGTCTTTCCACATAAATTGATTACTTGAGGCATTTAGCTGTTTTATGTGTATACGTTGAATGAATTGGATTCATTTTTTTTTTTCAGTGCTTTAGCAAAGATCATTAAGGCTGGATATGCGGCACTCCAACTAGAATACTTTTTCACTGCAGGCCCAGATGAAGTGCGTGCATGGACCATCAGGGTAAGATTCATACTTATTCATCAGCTATATCCAGTTCCACACTATTGAATTCAGATTGATATCACTGACTTTGAAGTTTGTCATGGTGGCGGTTAGCTAGTCATTACAGATGAGGTTTTTGTCCAGGATAACTTTAATTATTTGTGAGCTGCTGAACAGTGAAAGTGGAGCTGCATTGATTGAGGCAGGTAACAATTGATTCTGCCTATTACATAGTCTGAATTTCTTCATCCTGTAGAATCTGTCTACCCTCCTCCTGTGGTCAGAGATAAGACGTACCAGTATTGTGCTTGCTTAATCTGTGTGACTGGGTTTGTCTGCAGTGAAATTGATGTTGCTTTTCATTTTGTATTCACTAAGTTTGTTTGGGTTGCGGGTGGTTCATTCCTCCTTTGCTTTGCTCGGATTACATTTTCAGCAATAAAAGCAATATAACATCATTATATTCCTCGTGGATACACAGTTGGGCTCCAAAACCTAAAATCAGTGTGCAATAATTCAGGTCGTTTACTGACTTTAATATTTAGACCGAATTTATTTTGGTAGTTTTATGTGTGTTTATCCAGGAACTTATGTAATGCCTGAAATTAAATTATGTATTTTAAATGTTGATGCAGAATGATTACAGCCATAGAGATTGACTAATTTATTCCCAAAGGACAGTAAGAGCTGAGCTGTAGTGGTTTGCCTTTGAAAATACAGTATAATATAAAAATTACTATTGAAAAATATTTTGAAATGCATGCAGTTATAAATTCTACCTTAAAATTTATAAAAATGTCAACTTTAGGAGATGCAGATCTGTCACTGAGCTTTTATTTGCTGCATCATTATGTTTAGAGCTCTGCAGTGAATTTCAGTGCTGCATTTAATTTCATTTCAAAGGAATTAATTTGTTTTCATTAATCAACATAATTTCCAGTAAATTTATATTTTTCCTTGATACTGCTACAGATGTTCGTGTATATATTTCAGCACATTAAACTTACAAGTGTGCTTTAGAATTTTTTTTTAGTCTTTTCATCTGTGTCTCCTTTTACGTGATAACTCATAGCTAGTGTCCTTGAAATAGCTACCAAAATAATATAAAAGCAGAAGTTCTGTTCTTTTTAAAAGCATGTTCTGAAACTCTGCTGTTTTCAGTAGGAGAAATGCTTGCTCTTTATTAGAAAATTTGAAAGCTGGTTTATCTTAAGACTGATTGTAAGTATCTTTGATTTAATGTGCAAAGATATTTAGTCAGGTAAGCATCAGTGAGTAGCCATATTAACCCAATACATCTTTTATTGTAAAAACTGTGCTTTACAGTGTCAGACTCCTTAGCACTTTAACATGCTTTATTAAGCAGCCTTTAGGTCACCATTATTTCTCAAATTTCTTTCCATGGCTGTGTGTGCACAGAATGTATGTCCTTGTAATTTAAGGCATACAGTTATAATGCATTCTACTTTACTGCAAAAGCTTAAATTATCTCATAATATTTGCATGTGATTTTTTAAAAAAATTTTTAGTCATTCAGTTGTTGATGTTTTGGTAAGAATACTCATTTTGTTCTACCTTAGACTTATTAAAATTATTCCAAAATAAAAATAAGCCAGTATATATAACTTGAGATTCATACATCATTTTTGATTACAAATATGATTCACCAATGAATGTTATCATTTAATTGAAATTATTTGGATGTGACTAAAAGTCTAGAGTATTCCAGATTTTAAAGTTATTTAAAAATCTATATTTTCTTCACTTTCTGTATGAAGAGCTAGGGATCGAAGTGAATCCCACAACAAAACACAATCATAGCTTCTAAAATCAATATTGCTGTTTATACCTATTAGGAAAAAACAAAGCTGCCTTTCTTTAATATCAGTTAGTTTATCTGTGGCAAGGGCATTTATCTGTGTGTCCCAATATTGAGAATTACCCAGCTGTATGTGAGACATTTTAACTGATACAAAACAAAGTTTCAACAGATCCTGAAAGCGTATCAAAAAGGAAGAAACCTCTCTCCTGCAATCAATCTTCTTAAATGCAATTAATTTTCTTCCGGTCTTTCCTTTGACAGAAAGGGACGAAGGCTCCTCAGGCAGCAGGGAAGATTCACACAGATTTTGAAAAGGGATTCATTATGGCTGAAGTAATGAAATATGAAGATTTTAAAGAAGGAGGTTCAGAAGCCGCTGTCAAGGTGAGCTTCCCATCTTTGTCTTCTCCCTTCCTCCATATATACCATTTCAAGTGTATTTTACATTGGGAAGATGTTCTTGATATTAAGTGCATTTAGCAGTAACCTTCCTGTAGCAATAGACCAAAAATCCACTGTCTATTTAGGAAAGAATTGAAATGCACGAACTTACTGACCAGGAATGCAACAGTTTCAGTGTCCAAGACATGACAGTTTATGGACTGTCAACCCTAACACCAAAAGCTAAGCTGATTATTTTTTTTTCCCTTAGCTTATATATTAGTGTTTAGAATGTAATAATCTTTCAAATGAACATGCTTTTGAAAAATCAAATTTTTACAGTGAGATAGCAGATTTTCAAATTAAAAGAAAAGCAAGAAACACAGAAAATGTTTCTTCCAACAACATGTCATATTGTTTTGAGCTTGCAGTGAAGGTATTACAGTTGTCAAATGCAAATATTTAAGAACATTTAGAATTTAAGAATATTTAGGAATTTTAAAATTTACTATGGTGTTTTTAGGTCTAGTGGACTCCTATTTTAGTCTGCGACAGATATAATTAAGTCTTAAAATTTACTATTTAAATATTTAAATTGCCTTCTGATTGATATCTTACTAAAAAAATGCCATGCCTTACTCTGTTTAGAGTACAGTAATAATTGTAGGTGGCCTACAAAAATGCATTACAGTAAATGATTTTTTTTAGTTACTATCTACTGAATAGATGGTAAAGATTTTTCATGAAAAACTTTTATTGAGCTCACACTTTGTAGTTACACTCCTGTTAAGAAGAGTTTTATCTGCTTTCTCAACACTAGAGGGCAGAGACTGATTGGGTGCCCAAAGTTGTGCCCTTCTTATAGCTAGCAAATTATATCTGATCTGAAGTTATTAAATACAAAATTAACTTGTACATGGCAAATAAGTGTCATAAGAAAAGCAGTTCTTCTCTGCATTGCTATTGCACTATTTCCATCTTCTTTAAGCAGAGAAACTTCCTTTTGTTTCATATGCATTTGATTTCTCATTTGGCATTGATGTTTTATTAAGATTTGTATTTTATAAAATTGCAATTACAGAGAGCATGAGTTTCATTTAATCCATCCCCGTATTTGAAGGTTCCTGCACACTAGAATGTGTTAAAGAATTTAAAAGGTTCGGCTTTATTGTTTGCTATTTGATAGCTTGAAAGGTATGCAAAACTGTGATTTCAGATTCAGCTTATTCTCAGTGGTATCGCTAAGGAAGATCATACTGAGCAGCGGGGCTTTAATAGGTTTGTTTGAACCCCAGGAAGTGGGGGGAAAAAATCCCAGTATAATTGGTTCGTTGCGGCATGTGAACTGTGTTATGAAAAGGGAAGTAAAGTTGTAGTTGTAAAGTGAAACCACAGCTATAAATAAATCTAATATTCCGTAGTCAGAAACCACTTTACGTAACCAAGATTCAAATTTTGCTAGCAGCAGTTTTTGAAGTTCAAATCTAACTGTTCTCCCTAAGAAGCTGCATCAGTCATCATCTATTGAATTAATCTATAAGCATCTTGCCTGTATATTGTGACTTGCTTTTCACAATGCAAGATTCTAGACACCAAACTTCCACGTTGAAATTATATTTAATGACTAAACTTTCATTATTTTGAATGAGCTGTAAAGCAAGCATATTTGCCTTTGTTATTCAGTTTTTAAGTCAGTTAAAAACAGCAACAACAAAAAATTGCTCTTACAAAAATGCTTAATATTACTCTAGTCTTTCTAATTTGCATTTAATACAATGTTTCATGCTTTATACAATACTAATTACTTCTATATTGCTGGTAAATTTCAAAATTAAATTTGGGAGCCTTTAGGAGTCAACTGAAATAACAGTGGTAATGGGAGTTGCTTGCTTTGTATGTTATCAAGTTGATCGATTTTTAAGTTTGATTTTGTGTGTGTCTAACACCAGTACAGCATAACTAATTTAATGCCAGTGCTGTGAACTATACACTGAATAGCTCTGTGTGGGCTTTGTAGTCTACAGGGATATCACATTATTAGCAATCATATCTGCTTAGGCAAAGCTGGCTTCTACAGATGGCTGCTTTCAAGTGCAAATGAACTGGTTAGACGTGTCTTGTTTAATACATACTCAAGATTCACAAATGGGTATTGATTTTTTCAACCAGTGTTTCTGATAGCAATGGAAATGGATTAAATGGTCTCTAGAGAATTTAAAGGAACACTGTCACTTTTAATTAACTGTAAACTGGTAACCAAAAATACATAAACTTGTACTAGTGTGTCAAAATGTATTTAATTAAAGAAGTCCGTGCCACTTTGACAGTGTGCAATACTATGCTTTAAAAAATTGTATTGTTACTTCGTGGAGATCAGGTTTTTCTATGAATATGAGAGTAATAAATGTATTCGGCTGTAAAATGTCTGTGTACCTGTGCCTGTAGCTTACACTTGCTGATGATTTTTACAGCACTGTTTTATTAGTGTTTATGCCATCAATTAGTCTAATTACTCTTGACTTTGAGCATTATTAGGATCTTCAAAGGAAAGAACTGCTAAGACTACTTGAAAGTAAAGCTTTTATAGTCGAGCAAATTTCCAGGGGAAAAATATAAAAACATTTGTAAAGTGTTATTTATTATCTATTGATAGAGTGTGGTATGAGATAAGGTCAATTACTGCGGCACTAAATATTTATTGTTTAGGCTTTTTTATCTGAAAACTTCTGTAGGCTAGCATCACTGGTGTCGTTTAAATATAAGGAAAGACAGCGACAAGGTTATCGTGCTTCTAAATTCCTCAACAGCAACGTGTGGGAATACGTTGCTTTACAGAGCAGGTTTTGTGAAAGAAAGGTGTCTAAGTTAACTATGTACCATTAATCTGATCTGTTCTACTGCAACTAAGGTCATTAGTTAACAGCGTTCCTGTAATGGGATCTTAGCATGCCACCACTGTGATAGTGTCATTGAGAATAATGGCACAGTGAGGTCTTGCATGGAAGCACTTTCTCCTGCAAGAGGAAACTTCAAAACAGGAATGGTTATTGAACTAAAGCAGAAGCTCTCAACTTTTCCATATCGTAGATCACTTTTCAAGATAAATGCAGCCGTAGACCACCTCCTGCCCAGTCTGTCAGTCCTAATGCTACGGCTTCTCTGTAGCCTCAGTAATACTAGGTTTAATTACAAAGAGGTAAAGATAGAGAAGTATAATAATAAATTCTAATGCGGAGAGTACTGATACTTAATAGATTACTTGCCTATTTTCTGATCTTCTCAAGTACAGCGTTTCCACAAAGAATTTTCTTTTCATGTCTTTGGTCTATGTACCTTCCCCGTATCCTGGTTTCAGAACCTATCTGCTCTTACATCCGTCCTTCTGATGTCTGCATCATAAGCAAATTTGTTCTAAAGGAAATTCTGACAGAAAGACTGAGCCTGTATTTTATACTCCTGAGTCCATCGTTATCTGGGCATAAGCAGACGAGAGCCCCACTCGAAGCATGAGGCGGGTACCGTTGTGACCTCTTTGCACAGTGTTTCCATCTTGGTTTTGGCAGTACTCGCTTGCCCTTCATGGGATAGTGGTAGTAGTTTGTGTACAGGTTTGGGAGCCATGCAGCCGCCGTGCAGGCTGTTAGGGATTGCTCTCTCCAGCAGTACTGTTTTAGATTCCTGCCACTGCTGTTTGCCATCTGAAGGGTTTTTTTTAGATTAAGAAAATGAAAGCCTAAAAGCTGAAAGAAAAATACTTGATTTGGCTTAGTCTCCTTTATTGTAAGATTTGCCAGGGTTCACAGAAATGTTCCAGATTTACCACTTTATAACATGGAAGGCACTCAAGCACCATCAGTTCAGTGGAGGCTAAATTATTTGTGGATGTTTTATACATGTGTAAAACCCAGTTGTGTTAAACTGAGGAGTGCTGTGTGATTGTCAAACTGTGAAGCTGAAGCAATACCTTTTTTTTTTTTTTAACCAAAATATATTTAAATAATTATAACTTGGAAATACTATAAAATATCTAATGAAATAACCAATTTTCCTTTTGTCTGTTGTATTTGCAGGCTGCTGGAAAATACAGACAACAAGGCAGAAATTACGTAGTGGAGGATGGAGATATTATCTTCTTTAAATTTAATACACCTCAGCAACCCAAGAAGAAATGAGTATCAGATGTTGTTCATTGCTCAGAAATAAACTGTGCTGCTTCAAAAAGCGTATGAATTTTTATTTTAGAATGGAATATCTGGAAACAAAAATCATACAGTTTCTACCTAGGGATCCTCCCCTCCCCCAGTGAAATTATTCTTGTTTGTTTTGAATTAAAATATGGCACCTCCAGTGAACATGCAAGTTCACTAAATGTGAACAGCTTTGCATTTCAAACGATTAAGACCCTACTCCAAATTGTAGAAGCTTTTCAGGAACCATATTACTCTCATGATACTTCATTAATCTCCATCATGTATGCCAAGCCTGACACGTTTGACAGTGAGGACAATGTGGCTTGCTCCTTTTTGAATCTACAGATAATGCATGTTTTACAGTACTCCAGATGTCTACACTCAATAAAACATTTGACAAAACCAGCCTTGGTGTGTTTGGGGATGTCTGTATTGACTGACTGTGGTGTGCTGAATGCGATACGGCACCTGGTGGATGCTGATTACAGAATTTTAAGACGTGTATGATACAGTAACTGGCAGTGTGGGGCAGCTGCAATTGTATCTTGAAAGTGAGTCTTTCATGGGAATCAGAAGATTAGGATGCCAATGATTTGTCTCAAAAAAGTTAATGAATTTGTAGATGGACATTCACTGAGAGATGATAGTAAGGATAATAAAAATGATGCAGCGTAAATGATTTTTATGGGAGAGAGCAAACGTATATAGAAAAATCATGTTTTTCTTGGAGACTGAGGCTTTTTTTGCTCAAGTCATTTTTAAAGAGTATTTCATTCTCGCCTTGAAATTATTAAATTGTGGAGGCTGGAGCAGCGGTGCCTGATGTTGTGTGTTGTCCTCTCAGGTCAGGATTTCAGGCCAGTGGAGGGTGACACAGATAGTGTTGTGAGGGAAGAGGTCACGCTGTGCTGGCAGGTGTGTCATTCTGCTGAAATAAGGCTGCAGATATGAATACTTTTTTTTTTTTTTTCTTTCCCTTTTAACCATGAGGGAGAGCTAGTCTTTTTGGGTAACACAGGAGAGTAAGTTGTTGCCAAAAATAGAACCAAGTTTGTATTTTCAATGCAAGCAGTAGGATTGCCCTTGCTTGCAGTATGTTTAATGTATTTAAAATAGCCTGATTATTTTTGGAAGCGCCTGTGCCCGTGGTTTCAGCTACTGATTCCACGGGTCACGGCTGGTGGAGATGCGGGTGTTACCCATGGATTACTGGTGTGTCAGACCTCTTGCATCACTGTGATAAATTTGCTTGTTATAAACTTTGAAAAGGCAACGTCTCACTGGCTGGCCTCCCCTCCATATGAGATTTGGGGAGCGCTGCTCATGTCCTGTGCTGAGGCTTCCCTTGAGACACCGCTTTTGAGCTTCAGTGCTCGTCCTTGAAAGAGCAAAGCATGGGTCTTGTCATGGGTCATGGGTCAGTCAAAGCCAGGAGGCTTATTGTGGAAAAGTTGGCATCGTGCCTTTAATTGAACTGAGGAGAAAGAGGGAGGGCAGATGACTTCAATACATAGTTGTTGATTTTGTTTTAAAGAGCTTCTCCTTTTTCTTGGTGGCAGGAGGGGGGAGAGTATTTTAAGGCAGGGAAACTGGGACTTTGTGTGTTTTGCAGCCCTTGAAATTCTCTTTTGTATCGTTTCCCTGGTGCAGCTGGTGTTTGTTCTTGGCATTATTTTAATGTTGCATAATTGAGAAAAAAATAGGAGCACAAAATATTGTCTTAAAAGTCAAATCCAAAAGAAAGTAGAACCTGCCCGTTTCTCTTGGAAGTTGGCAAGGTGCTAGTCACAGAGAAAGGCTCGTGCTGGGCTACAGACACAGTGAAAGGTGAGAGAGAAGTAGAGTGTATGTGCTGGGAAAAGAGAAGTCACCTCTTTGCTGCGCTGGTACCAGCTAAACATGTTGTCTTGTCTATCTGAAATCCATTCTGGCTTTCAAAGTATTCCCATGCCCCCTAACTATTATATGTATAAATGAAGAAGTTGTTAAAAAGGACAGCACAATTAATGGATTCCTTTGTATTGTTGCTTCTCTGCATTGCATTAACAAGCCATATTTTTTGAATGTTTATACTTCACAATATGTCCCTGTTCTAAAAATACAAATAGTTAGAAATTGAAGTAAGTAGTACTAGATAGGCAGGTTTTTGAAGCTATTACAATATTCTGAAAATAGAATCTGAACTTAAAAACTTTGCAACATCTTCTTTAAAAATATATATACTATATATATGGTATATATTTCAGCTTTCTTTTTCTATTTCAGTGTTCTTTTTAACTACTGAAGCTAATAGATTATTCCAGAATAAAAGAAGTTTTATTAAAAGAAAGAAAAAAAAATCTGATAAGCTCTGTTACTCCCATCTCTGGTGACTTGTGGTAACTGCTGCATTAAATACATGCAGTCAGTGTTTCTCTTCAGTGGTTGTATACGCTTAAGAGGTACCACTCACATCTATCCTGTAGATAGATGTAACAAGTTTCAAATGCTCTGTTTTAAATAGAACTGTGATTTTAATTTAAGCCAAGCACATATCATTTATGCATTTCAGCCTGTGCAGGTGATTAGAGGTGCAATGTATCCATCTTGCTCACACTTTCTATTTAAAAATAAATATCTGCATGCTCTTACCAAAGTCTTGATGGCCCGTACAAGCTGAGGCAGAGGATGGTGAGCAGAAGGAGACATTGTATTCCCCCAAATGAAGGATAAGAAAGGATTTTAGGCACTGTTCTTCCAAAATATGGGAAGTAGGGGATTTTGCAGAGAAGGAGGAGTACCAACCCCTCCCATTCGCTTCTGTGGATTCACTTTGAAAGCACGTTCAAGTAACATTGCTGTAGACAACTCAGGGCTTTTTGTGATCTTCATTGACACCATCAATAACAATATTTAGGTTAACCACAACAGTGCTGCACTTGGATACTCCACTATGTGACATTTCAGGCTACTAAGAAGCATGGGGGTTTAACTTTTAATGACTACTTGTAGTCAAGGATACCTCTCATGTAGGATAAAATTTTCTGTCCTAATTGGCATTTCCCACAACAACACAAGGGGAGAAGGCTAGGGCTTTCTGTGGGATTCAAAATACTGAATATTATCACAATGTTGTTTCCACTGTATGCTACCTAAAGTAAAATAGCGGGCGTGCTCACACATGAACTCCTAACCACCTGGAAATTAGGTGTGTTTATCCTGCTAACTGAAAATTGAAGGAAATATCCTGGCAGGATAAGAGCCACTGGGATGTAGCTGGCCACCTCTTGGCTGTGCAGCTGAGCATCAGTGTGGTCAGAATATTCCTCAGAGAAATGAAGGAAATGTCTTCATAAACATAGGTGTTGGTGTCTTAAGTGTCTTGATAAACATGTTCGGGCTAGTGTGTGTGATAGGCTAAAACAAAGAAAAGGGTATTTATTTTCCATGGTTTCAGCTGTGCGCTTGCCACAAAAAGTTGGCGAGGGTTCAAAAATGCTTGGACGAAACGTTTGGGGTGGGGAGGGGAGAAGCAGTTGATGGGGTTAAAAAATAAATGTTAAAGGTATCACCTTTGCACTTGGAGTCCTTAAGTCACAAATTGCTGGAAGCTGGTGAAAAGCTGGTAAGCATATATTGTCTCTGGTTTTGCTCTCTGCTGTGGGGCGTTGGTTGGCCACCATCACAAACCAGGGTGCAGGATGGGATGGGACTGTGGTCTGACCTGCTGCAGCCATTCGTGTGTCCCCTGCAAAGCAACTTTTCTTCAAGGGCTGCCCGCAAACACCGGTGAAGAGCATGGCTTCTCTAATGTTCTTCCTGGTACTGCATTTTAATTAAAGCCTTTCTTAAAAAAATAAAAATAAAAATGGGGGGATTACTGGCTTAATGTCATGTTTATTTGGTTTGTCAATGACTTTGACCAGCTCCGTAGAGGTTGTAGCATGATCATAACTATTTTAAATTATTTACCTTTTCTGGAACATCGCTCTTACCTGCTGCAGGTTCCTACCCACATTCTTCCCTTCGTCACCCAGGTTCTCTCAGTTCTCTGCCCAGGGTCTGGCTGGTCAAGGAGTTTTCATGTCAGAGAACCTGCTTTGAAAATGTTGTATTATTTTCTTTCCTCCCCCTGGCTGAACAAGCCCCAGGTGAAGTGGCTGCACCGTAGCTGGGTAGCTCCTGGTGCTGGAGCAATGCTGCTGGTGGCTGCCACCTTGGAAAGCTGTCGGGAGCGTGCTCCTGCATGGTGAGCTGGCCAACAACCCTCGTCACGACACAGGTATCAGCCATGTGCCTTCTCATGCAGCCTCCTCTGCTCTTGTGGCTGCCAGCCTTCCTCAAACCGTCCTGGCAGAGCCTGGCCTCTCCTCGCCGTGTCAGCTGGCAGTGACACTGCGTGGCCCTTTTCACCAGGTGGATTGAACGCCGAGTGTCGCTCCTGCCAGCTGCAAGGTATGGCGGTAAAACTGCATTTTGAAGGAGCCAAGAATGCAAAAAAGTTGTCAGTTTAAAAAAAATTTGCTAAGTTTTAACATTTTTCTCCACTCATGAACTCAGCTCACAAAGGTTGGGGGGAGGATCATTAAAAGTTGGTAATTGTTTAAAATTAATAATCACTTGTTTTAATTTTTACTTTCCCAATACTAATTCCATATGTTTGATTATGCTAATCCTACCATTTCGCTTCAATTAAACCAGGAAAACCACTGGAGGCTTTGAAAAAAAAAAAAAAAAATCAAAGTAGTGGTATTCATCACAGTATCCCGGCAGAGTGGAAGAGCTGCGTGCTGGTTGGGCTTTGAAAGTTTTGAAGTCAATTCTGTGTTTCAAGGCTGACTTTGAAGCAGTTATTTCTTGGCTTCTATCTACAGGTAGTGCCAGTTCCCAATCTATGAGAACAGACACATATGGCAGCGTGTTGCATATTGTGAAATAGGTTACATGTGTGTACTTGCCGTCATAAACAGATGATTTGGTATGTGCCTGCTCATCAGAGCTCATTATAGCTCCGTGCATTTGCAGATTGCCTGTAGCATTTTATTTCCTACATGCAAAATGTATGTGTTCAGCACAGCTTTACAAGCCATACAGAAAATAAAATCTGCTGCTGCTCCACGAGCACGTGCGATGCAGAAGTTCCCAGAAGACATCCGACTGGGAACGCTGGGGCTGGCTTAGCAGAGGCACAGGCGTTTTCCTGCCCTCTGTGGCTCCAGTGCTGCTGCAGGAGGGGAAGGTCCTTGGCTTTGGGCCCCTGCGGGGCAGGAAATCTGCACAGCAGAAGGGATTCAGAAGGCTGAGATAGATATGGGTATGTCTGAGCGTGGATAAATAGCATGCCAAGGGCTATTTCCGCGGGGATGGTGTTGGAAGAAGTGCTGCTCTGCATTGACCAGGCTTTTATCCTCGGTGATCCAGACTCC